GCCTTGCAGCATGGAGACACAACGTGCAGCAACAGTGCTACAATTCTGACATTCGGCGGCACTCCTCACGCAGATCGCCGGGGTCAGGGTCGAACAACATATGAGAGTTGCCACATGTCTTGATATATGTGTGTATGCATGTCTATATATATATATACATATATATATGAGAACCACGCGCGCGCGTCGCGCGCGCTTAGGGTCTTAACAGCCCCAGTAATTAACTAGCTCACAGCTGCACAACAAGAACTACTGGTGGAGGGAGAAGGAAAAGTGACATGCGACGTCTTTCATCACGCGCAAGAGATCCGACGCATATATGAACAAGTACCTAAATGTGTACGTGGACGTCAACTTTACGTCCACCAATGCGGCTGGTCCCACCGCTGCGGCGGACCCGTGACCTGGCCCCCGCACTCCCACGATGACACACAAGTAAGGGAATTCAATTACAAACACACCGTGTTTGGCCTGTGGGCCATGCGGCCCCTGGTGTGGGGGCGTCCAATCAATCCCAAGGACGGTGCCCGCGTACGGTGATGAACCCTCGCGCGTGTTCAAATTTCATCTGTCTTGGATCCCAGCGTGGATCGCAGAAGCGGCACAACACTTAAATGCAAGGGAACCGTGGATTTCGAAGTCACCGCGTTAGCTGCCGAAGGCGCAGAACCCATTGATAGGGATAGGACAGAACTGTGCATTCGAATGTAAACACGCGTACGTGTAAGGATATCGTGTCCAGCCAGGTGCTGGGAAGGGGGGCGGGGTGGGGACATGGGGAGAGGAGGAGATAGGGGAGGAGGGAGGATCGGAGGAGGGAGGAGCTGAGGAGGGAGGGAGGCTTATGGGCTGTGGGTCAGAGGCATCTCGGATGCCTGTTGGGGGCTGTCAGGAACCCTTTAGGACGCCTTACGCCTTTTTGAGGAATCTCTGAAACACATGGGCCTTTGGGGGGGCCGGCAGGGGAGCTCTTTCGGGCATCTAGGGGGCATCGTGGGCCCTCTTGGTGGCTTCTTGGGAGTTTGCTGGCGTTCTCGAAGGTCCTCTTGGGGCGGAGCGCTTCAACTGTCAGTTCAATTTACCCTCCGAGGCCCCCCAGAGGCCCCACGAGGCCCCCAAGAGGCCCAAAAAGAAGCCCCAAAGAGGCCCCCAAACGGCCCCAAAGAAGCGTCAAAACTGCCTCCAAGAGGTCCCCGAAAAGGCCTCACGACATCCAAGTCCAAGAGGCCTCTAACCCACAACAAAAGGCACGGTGGCGGGACGGGTCGACGGCCACGATATATCTATATATGTGTAACTGCATATACATATATATATATATATATATATATATATATATAACTGAATGTGGCATGCGTGTATGTATGCATGCATGTATATATGTACGTACGTGCGTATGTATGTATGTATGTATGTATGTATGGATGTAATTATCTATGTATGTATCTAGATGCCTGTATGTATGTATGTATGTATGTATGTATGTATGTATGTATGTGTATGTGTATGTATATTCGTAAATATTAGTATGATCCGTCTGGGGCGCCACTGGGGCCGTCTTGACACGCGCTTGGACCGTCATCCCATTCTCGTCGACCTCGTCCCCCTCCCCCTACTCCTGTTCCTCCTCCTCCTTCTTCTCCTCCTCCGTTCCTTCTACATATAAGATGTGGGGACTTCCTAAAATCTCTTGTGGCCTCGCAGAAGAGTGGCAACTGCAAGTAACACCGTCAACCGGGTCCGACCCCGATTCCACTTGGAACGGGCCCCCGGGAAAACAAAAACTGGAATAGGATGTCCGGCGGGATGGCACGGACCCTCCTCCTCCTCCTCGGTGTCTTCGTCGGAGTGGCGGCGACAATCATGTCCCCAAAAAGGCTCACCAGGAAAACGATCTGGCCGTGTTGGAACCCTCGTGTAGGTTCCCAGGGTATCCCAAGTGAGGTCGCTAAGCCCGACGAGCCACCATATTGAACCATTCGGAAATCTTGAAAACGTGGTGAAGCTTGGAAGTGGAATGGGGGAGGTGTGCAGCAACAAAACAATAAACGGTAGGGGCTGGGAAGGCCACGGAAAACATGTGGCGTGGAGCGCAGGGGGTGTGCGAAGCTTGGGCTGTGGGCCCAAGGGCTTTAATGTGTGTTCGGTTCGCGGGGGCCTCTTGGGGACCGTCGTTGTGCCTGTTAGGGGTCGCTTGGGGCCTTCTGGGGTCTCGTGGGAGCTTTTTGGGACCCTCTTGTGGCGTCGTAGCAGCCTCTGGGAACCTTGGGGCGGCAAATTCGAATTTTCGGTTCGTGCCCCCCCGCACTACATTGAGCCCATCTTGGGGCCGTCACTGGAGTTCCAGGGCCTTCCTGCCGGCCCATTTGCCCGTCTTGGGGCGGTCTGGAGGGCTTGGGCCGGCCGTCTTGGATCGTCGGGAATTTGACAAACGGAAAGCACCCCGCAAAATCCATAAATTCTAAGGAAATCGCGCATTTTTGGTTCCCGGGGCACTCGTCTGAGCCCTCTGGCGCCAACTGAAGCCTGCCCGGGGCCGTCCTGGCGCAGACTGGAAGCCTCTGGAGGCCGTTCGCAAGGCATTTTCTGTGTTTTCGGGGCGTCGTGGGCCGCCCCTGTAGATTGTCGCACCAATATGCGGGCTATATGTGCGCCCACGGGATCACTTTGGGAGCGACGGGGGCGCCTCCAAGGCCCCTGGAGCAGAGTTCGAGCATTACGGATAGAACGAAGCACAATGCCACACATGTTTTAGCCTCCGATGGACTTGAGACATAATATTTTTGTTTTGGTCTGCGGGTCGGGAGCGGGCCACTTCCGGTCAAGAGATAAACGGAACGCGGGTAGCCGTAATTGGGGAGACAGGGCGCGGGCGGGCGGGGCCTCAGGCGGCCGGAGGGCTCAGAAAACAGGCGGCGCCGAAGATCTTGCACAGGACAAGGTGCGCCATGGACTGGAACAGGGGGCGCGGTCCCGCAGGGAAAGTGGATTGGTGTTGCCGTCATCGGCGCGCCAAGAACGCCATCCTCGAGTGCTGCGTGAGGAGGGCCGTGAGCAAGTCAACGTCCGCAAGGTAGAGGAAGACCAGGAAGGCGAAATGCACTAGGTGCCACCGACTGGGCGAAACAGAATATATGTTAGTGCACACCCAACCGACCCAACCCTCACCATTAGACGGAAACAAAAAACGAATTCGGTGCGCATCTGCTGATCTTCAAAAACGACCCACACCCTGGCCCCGAGGAGCCCTGGGCACAAAGGCAACACAAAACAAAACATAGACAACATGCACAAACTATATATATGTACGTTCGGGGCACCGACGACTCCGATTTGGGACCCAACTGGTTCCCCAGGCTGCCCCAAGCGTTCCCAGGCGCTCCAAAACGTTTCCAAGCGCCCCAAAACGTTAGAATCCGCCCCAAGCGTTCCCAGGCTCGCCGTCGCCACCAGCAGCAGCAGCATCCACATCCTCAACTTGATCGTCCTCGTCGTCGCAGGGGGGCTCAAGGAGCAGATTAACTCAGATCGCGTTGACGCGTGGACCGCAAACGGTTTTCACAGGGGGGCTCTCGCTTTGCTGACGCCGAACACCATCGTTTTACTCCATCAAAGAACAGGGGCTCTTGCCCTGGCGCCGTGCATACTCGGCTTCTGAATTATCCTTAGCTGCGCGAGTGGATAGTGAGTCCTTTCCAAGACAGCGGGGGCACTCCACAAGGAACCCTTAGATAAAGAATCCATGATTTGGAAGCCGGAGGAACTCCTTGTGTGGAGCGGCCATGGATATCACCGCCGCCCTCATCAGAGAAGGAATCCTCCAGAGGGTCTGCAGCTTCCTGAACACATTCCCTAACGAACGCTCCCACCGTAATGGGGTCTCCCTCTGGCCTCGCGCACATTCGAATGTATAATACACCATCTACACTCACGTGATCCCTCATCGACCTCGATTCGGCGTTTCATATTGAACAACAGCTAACACGGATGGAGGGCTGCTCCACTTTCGAGACGGCTTTCTCGCGTGAGACGTCCGCGAAGCATACGTCCACTACTTGGACATGCTGCAACGCTTACACGGATGGAGGGAAGTGTTCTTTTAAAGAGGGCTATCACTGGGCCTCCTTGACGGGCTCTCGCGTGGGACTTCCGCGCAGCAGACATCCACGACTTTGACAGATTGCCGCGCTTAGCCAGATGGACGGCATGTGCTTCTCAAAATGGGGCTACCCTGGGCGTCCTTCAAGTGGAGGGAGGATCCTTTACAACAGGCGCCCTCGTCTGACTGGCGGACCGACCGACCGCTCGTCATTCGAGGGGGGGCGCCCGCAGTGGGAAAAAATACTTGTATGGACATGTACAGAAGGAACTTGGGACGGAAGGGTGTATTGCAGCATCGGTCGATGCATCTTGGGTTTACTCTGATACCCCTCACCCACCTCCTCCCTTCTCTTCGGTTCGTCCTCCTCACGAGGAGTGGGACGAGAAAGGAGAGGAGGCAGAGGACAAGGACGCGAGGGAGGCAGGACAAGGATGCGAGGGAGGCAGGAGGAGGGGCTGGGAGAGTGATCTGTGGATGATGCGGAGGAGGCTGCGAACCTGTTCCCGCATATCCAACGTGCCGCGACCGCGCAGAGACGGCACGCTCCAGCCCCACGCGAGAGCATCAGGCAGGCGCTCCGACGCGGCGGCGACCCCATCGAAAAAATAAAAACTGCTCTCGCGGCAAGGGTCGAGTCCGTCCGAGGGTTCGTCGCCCGCGGGCCTCTGAGCGCAGCCTTCTCCAGTCCCTCCTCCAGGCCCGCTCGCGAGCGGCGAACGTGTCCGTCTCCACGCCCCTCGCGGTCTCGAGTCCTCAGGGCCGCGGTCCCGTGGATGCGCGGCCGCACGGGCACGCTCCGCGCGGGGGAACCCGCGGAGGAGCGCCAAACGCGTCCACGGGGCCGCGACCCCGGGGGGCGGGCCGCAATAGCCGTGGGTTCGCACGTTTTCCGCCCGTGCTCCGCCCTCCTCGGTCCACCCAACTTCGGGCATCGCGCCCCGTGGTGCGCCCACCGCGATGTTCATCGCACCCGTGCGACGCCGCGCTGCAGACGGGCGTCTCGACAGCCCCAGCCGCGGTGCGCGAAGACGGGGCATGTCGGCACCCCTGGGGGCGGCACGCACCCTCCCCCGTGCGGCCGGCCCGTCCTCCCACCACGGCAGGCCTTCGAGTCGTGCACGGGGCGTGGCCTTCCGACACGGTACGCCCTCCCTCCCGGGCCTGCGCCAGAGAGGGAGGCTGGAAGATAAGCTGCCACGCGCGATGTACAGGTTCAGTACTGCTAGAGCTTGGGATGAGGC